AGCCAAGGCATAACTGGTGCCATGATCTATGGATGGAGTCCTGGGCCCACGTGGCCTCAAGCCAGATCACACACCAACAAGATGTTGCTTCATTTGACAGATCATCTGGTGCTGCGACGTAGTGGCTGTCGGTTTATCATGGGAGACTTTAATCATCCTGATGAGAGCCTGGAAGCTATAGCACTCTGGAGATCAATGGGCTGGGCAGAGGTTCAGGAGCTACATTTGGCTCGGCACAATGAGCCAATACAACCCACCTGCAAGGGCAAGACAAGAAGGGATAAGGTCTTTGTGAGCCCGGAATTAGCTGCACTTTTTGTTTCAGCCACAGTGGAGAGCCTGTTTCCTGATCACTCGGTTGTCTGGGGAGCTTTTCGTCCACCAGGTCATGAGTCGGTTCCCAGGTGGATATGGCCTCAGCCTCAGACCATCGATTGGAGTAAGGTGCAAGTTGATTCCTGGCAGCGTCAGTATGCTGATCCCATCCGCCTGTCGTCTTCAGACATGACAGGTAACCAATGGTTTCAAAAGTGGGCTGATGCATATGAGAACAGTCTGGATGGGTTCGTTGATTTACCAGGAGGTGCTTTGCCCCCTGGGGCCAGGGGGAGAGGCAGAGTCAAGCGTCCTATTCAACAACAGTCTCAGCAACCAATATGCAAATCGGCTCGTGAAGGTGACATCCGCCTTGTATCTGACTTTGCATGCAGAGGAGTTCAGCTGTGGTATAAACAGGCTCGTCGATTTCAAGCATTGACGCAGAGCTTGCAGAGAGGCACCATGACGGCCTCCGCTCAAGCCCACAGGATTGAAACCTGGGCTGCTATTGAACGAGCTGCAGGATTTCAGGGTGGTTTTAGAAAATGGTGGCGCACACGTCCTGTTCAGCATCAGGGGCTTCCAGCTGAACTGCCTATTGGAGTGCCTTCAATGCAAATGGTGCAGCTGCTGTTCACTGACTTCACCAGCAACTTTCGCAAGCTCGAAAGTTGGCAGCTTCGGCGTCAGCAGGAAATCTCCAAGGCACAACTGACGGCTCATCGGGAACGCATCTTCAAGCGAGTGCGCCTGCACGAAAAGGAGTATCTTGACAGTTTGCTGCAAACCGAAGAGACGGAGATACTGGCGGTGGCGGAGGATGGAAGTGAGATCCAGCTGGAACATGAGATTGGAACTGGTCTTTGTGACAATCGGATCTGGCTTGTTGACTCTATGACTGCAATTCAGCTTGAGAGAAAGGAGGCGGATGTCTACAGGGTCGTTGATGCGGATTGCTTGCTGATGGCGGGTCAGTCACTGGTCTGTCAAAGCGTGTGCTCACAAGTGTCCACCATCCTCGAGGTGCTTGGAGCTTTCTGGACCAATCGCTGGCAGAAGCACTCCTCTGTTAGTGAAAGTGACTGGAATCGAATCCTAGCTTTTGGACGGGCCTTTTTGCCAAAAAGCCATCTTGGTTACAAGCAGCTGGATGTTCATGGATGGCATGATGTGAACACAAGGTACAATGACAAAGCGGCCAGGGGTCCGGACGGTTTTCATGGGAGGGATCTCCAACTGGCCCCTAGAGGGCTTCAAGTGTCTCTCCTTGAAATGTTGACAGCCATCGAGGAGCAAAAGATTGACTGGCCAGACCAACTACTAGCAGGGTTTGTGGCTTGCTTGGCGAAGACTGCTACTGCAGCCGAAGTTGCACACTATCGACCAATCATCATCTTTTCCACCATCTACCGGAGCTGGTCGACAGCAAGAGCTAGGCCGCTGCTGGCACATCTAGCATCCCTGGCTACCGACACACAGCTGGGGTTTCTGCCAGGCAAAGAAGCATTGCAGATTTCCTTCATGATCCAAGGCCTGGTGGAGCTATGTGTTTCAGCTGGATCTGCACTCCAGGGCTTGGTGACAGATATACAGAAAGCTTTTGAGAACATTCCTAGACTGCCTATGCTACGTCTTGCAAGCCATACAGGAGCACCGAAGGAGGTGTTGCAGGCATGGGAAAGCTTTCTGTCTAAGATGGAGAGACGTTTTCAAGTTCGTGGAGAGATTGGCCCAGCACATCTGAGCACATGCGGGGTTCCAGAGGGATGTGCACTGAGCTGCTATGCCATGGGCGTAGTTGACCTGAGCTTTCATTTCTACTTCCATCACTTTGCTCCCTCCACTGTTCCTTTGTCCTTTGTTGACAATTTGGGCATCTTGAGTGAGAATGTTGCACATTTACAGCATGGACACATAGTGCTGCAGGAGTTTCTCTCGATGTGGAGGTTGGACATGGATGTTCGGAAGTCTTGGACGTGGAGCACCAAGGCGACTGACAAAGACGCTCTCTCTCTTATGGGCCTTGAAGTTCGCTCCAGTGCAGGAGACCTGGGAGCCCAGCACAGCTATTCAGCTCAAAGACGCATTGCAGTTCAGAAAGCCAGAATAGCATCCCTTGACGCGTTGTGGATACGACTGCGCAAATTGGGAGCTGATGACAGATCGAAGCAGATGGTTCTTCAGCAGGCCTTCTGGCCCCGAGCCCTACATGGAATTTCAGTTTGCTTGCTTGGACCATCACACATTCAAGCATTAAGGACTGCAGCGGTTCGAGCACTTCGACATGGAGCTGCGGGAGCGTCGCCTCTCGTTAGGCTCTCGCTGCTTGCACCCATGAAGACTGATCCGGGCTTTTATCAGGTGACCAGGGTGTTGACCGACTTCAGACGCATGGCCTTGAAACAAGACATGGTGGTTGACCTTTGGTGTCAATACCACCAGGGCTTTGAGGGTGTCCTCAGGGCAGGCCCTTTCTCGAAGCTTCTGGAGATTTTTGAGCCACTTGGTTGGAGGGTCATTTCCCCGCCTCTGATTTGCACACATGTAGGCATTGAAATCGATTTGATCCAGATTCCTGAACAGCAATTGTTCTCTCTGCTGGAAGATGCTTGGACCGACTGGATCTCCTCGGAGCTGCAAGGTCGCTCTGACTTCAGGGGTCTTTGTAAGATCAATCTGGCAGTGCTTCGCAGGGCACACAAGAAGCTGCATGGTTTGCAGTTTGCTCAAGTAGCTGCACTTCAAGAAGGAGCTTTTTGCACTGGTGCACAGCAGGCTAAGTTTGATAACATGCGAACACCAGATTGCCCGTTCTGTCAGGTGCCGGATGACCTTGACCATAGATGCATACAATGTAAAATGCTCACTGAGGTACACCAGCGACATGAGAGCATCCGCTCCCGGTGGGACAACCTCACGATAGCACAAAAACATCGATTGCTGCCAGAGAAATTCCCTAGATGGGAAGCATATCAACAAGCACTTGGACCTCTTGCGTGTCCACAATTCGTGTATGAGGAGGTTGAAACCATGTCAGACTGGGTGGACCTGTTTGTTGATGGATCATGCTTGATGCCTGACCTTCAAGAATGCGCCTTGTCCTCATGGGCACTTGTTTCTGCGACTCATGGCTGCACACTTAGCTCAGGCATTGTACCAGGATTTCACCATTCTAGTGATCGGGCGGAACTGGTAGCCATGCTCAGTGCTTTAACTTGGGCTGTAGAGTGGGGCGGGGCAGTAGCATGTTGGACGGACAGTGCATACACCGCCACGGGAGTGTGGAGACTCCTAGACCATGTACATGATCCACCTTTCGATTCCAACACTGACCTGTGGATGCGCTGTGCTGAACTATTGATGCAGCTTAAGAGCTCCTTCAGATGTCATCACATTCCAGGGCATGTTCAGGGGGACTCTTGTGATGATCCGGTGAAGAGCTGGCAGGCACACTGGAACCATTTGGCAGACCGTGCAGCTCAGGCAGCACATTCGATGCACAGCAGTTCAGTGAGGTCCTTGTGGGCTCAACTGGTGTCCCACCAAAACAGTGAGCTGCAGAAGATGGTAGAATTGCAAGCGCTACACACAGAGATAGCTTCGACTTGGCATGAGCTGAAGAAGAAACATGAGACTTCAGTGCGTGAGTTGGAAGCGCAAGAGGAAATGGCTCCTGTCACTCTGCAAGCTTTGGCTCATGAGGGTGACATTTTTTTAGACTCCCTTCCAAACAACTGGCTGACGATTGTACAGACAACTGATCTGGCCACGAATTTTGGAACTTTTGGCTTTAGGCTCATACAGCGTCTTGTTGAGGAAGGTGCTGGAAATGCCACGCAGTGTATAGTTAGCTGGCTTGAGCTTTCTTTTTGGTGTTACCGGTGGTTCGCTGGGGTCTTCCCGGTACCGGGAGCAAAGAAGGGCCAGTGGGTGCCTGCGACATCCAGTAGTGGCTGTTTTCGATCTGCCCAGACGTTAGCGGCTGTTGTTCGGTTGGTTCGTTCTTGTGTTAGGGCCTATTCGGTGCATTTTGCTTTTGAAACCTTGGATGTTCGTGGCATCAACCTGGGCCAGATTGGCGTAGGACCTCCACAGGGTGGGCTCGCCCTTCGCTGTTCGAATCAAGTGAAGTTGCGAGGCTTGGAAGATCTTAGGGAGTTTTGTTCCGGGAGGCCGATCAGAACTTGCAACGACTTGGTTCGACCGCTTAGCACCAGGGATTGTCCCAACATGGGATAAACCAGACAAGCCCCACAGTGGGCAGGACAGGAGTGCGGACTGCCTTCCGCCGGCGCGCCGGCCGTGGGCGCGCACTGGGTCAAGTGAGTGTGTTTCTGGCAATGCTTCAATAGGTTCGAGGCCATCACTACTAGGTTACTAGGTTGGAGGCCATTTTAATCCCAAACCTCTGCAAAACTCCGCCATTTCTTCTTCGTTGGAGGCCATCGCTAGTAGGTTGGAGGGCATCGCTACTGGGGTGGAGGCAGCGTTTCAATAGGTTTCAACCCCAAAACCCTGCAAACTTCTAGTAACAAGTACCTTACTAGTAGTAACAAGAAGCTATTAGAAACAATAAGCTACTAGGAACAAGTGCCACGCTAGTAGTAACAGGTGCCTTACTAGTAGTAACAAGTACCACGCTACTAGTAGAAACAATGTTTGCTTCCTCCCAACCCATGCGCCTGGAGAAGTGAGACGTAACCAATTAGGCGGTCCGAATGAACAATTGCCACGGCCTGCGGAGATTGGAGACCCGAAACTGGGACCCTTGGCCACGCCGGAATCCGGCGGCGAAACGTTGAGGTGTAAGCTCCTAGTAGCGTCCTTTGCTCCTAGTAAGGCCAGGAGCCCCGTTC